TTCATCATCCAGAAGTTGCAATTCTACCTTAATTTTGGAAATCTAGACACTGTTCTTCCTATAATAGTTTTATCAGCACTTGAACTACAGCAACAATTTTTTAGTCCCTGTTCGGATGCAGCACAAAAACGGCAGCCATTTCTGTGCTAAAAAAATCATCAAAAATCAAGCATTTCTGGCATTCCAGAATTTGATCAGATGTCAATCATTTAATGTTAAAAATCATCATAATCAACCATCATATTCTGGATCCATACTTCTGACATGACAAATTTTACTTATTCATTTCACATCATGTCATATTTATACAGATTTTTTAGATGTTTAGATGTTATACCAGATCATTTTTCCTTTTTTTTTTTTTCTTAGTTTTTTTTTCCCTTTTTATTTTCATTATGTGATGTAATATTTTGTGTTGTATGTCCATTATTGAAACGAAATAAAAATATTGTTTAAATAAAAGAAAAAAAAGAAAAATATTTATACAGATTTTTTGGTTTGACGATACCATTCGGAATGGCCAAATGATGGCCATTCTGTTTTAATTAATGCTGCTCCAGAGCATTATCTCTCAATCAGTACTCCTTTGAAGATCAGATACAAGATGACTGAATGTTAATCATTTTAATGTTGAAAAATCATTGTAATTAAGCATCAGCTTCTGGATCCATATCTTTGACATATTTGTGTTCCAACTATATTACTATAAACAAAACTATATATCTTAACTTTGATAACTAACTGGGACTGTGCCATGCATGGCTTTTTTTTTTTTGGGGGGGGGGGTTATTGACATGAAAAGTTGTTGCTGTTGGTTTACGCTCGATACATGTACATGTCGGTCCTGATTGGTTGGTCCGGGTTGGTGCCCTAGTTGGTAGATCCCAGGTTGTCAAGTTCTGTTTGGTAGTTATTGCTATTGTTATTTGTTATTGTTCTTTGTAGGTTGGCTCTATTGATAATGACTTTTGTGGTACTGATATGACTATTGGTACAGACTCTGCATTGCAT